GCTGAGTAGTGGACTGGTTCAGGGGCTGAGTAGTGGACTGGTTCAGGAGCTGAGTAGTGGACTGGTTCAGGGGCTGAGTAGTGGACTGGTTCAGGAGCTGAGTAGTGGACTGGTTCAGCTACGTGTTGCTCTTGTTGTGGTGGCAAGTATTGTGGAGCAGGGGCTGGGGCTGAGTATTGAGGAGCAGGGGCTGAGTATTGAGGAGCAGGTGCAGGGGCTGAGTAATGAGGAGCAGGTGCAGGGGCTGAGTAATGAGGAGCAGGAGCTGGGGCTGAGTACGATTGTTGTGGAGCTATTCAAATAGAAAGAGACGTATTTTTGTTAATAAAATAATAATTTGTATTCATTGGTGCATTCAAGTTAAGATACTACTAATGTAGTTTTCTTTTGGAATTCAATAGTATCTAACCTGCGGCTGGTGGCAAGTAGCTTTGTTGGGGTTGTGGTGGTGGTGGAACGTATTGTGGCTATATGAAAAATTACAAATTATTAATGAAATTGAATGATTTATCTTGAAAATTCGTCATTTCATCCAATTGCTGATACTTACAGCTGGAGCAGCAGGGGCTGAGTATTGAGGAGCTGGGGCTGAGTACGATTGTTGTGGAGCTTTTCAAATAGAAAGAGACGTATTTTTGTTAATAAAATAATAATTTGTATTCATTGGTGCATTCAAAGGAAGATAGTTTTCTTTTGTAATTCGATTGTATATCTAACCTGGTGGCAAGTATGATTGTTGTGGTTGTGGTGCTGGTGCTGAGTATGATTGCTGTGGAGCTTCGTGGTGCACTTCTTCTTGTGGTGGCAAGTATTGTTGCTATACAAGTGAATCGTAATACACAATTGTTAATAAGCGCGAATCTCAATTTCTTTTTTCTTATTCAAGTTCAATAAACTATCGTTATAAATTGAGTGGTAGAGAATACAATTGGAAATAACCAAAACTGGGTTTTTCTCCATCTTTGGTAGAGAAGTGTCTTTGGTAAAGTTTAGGGTTTTGAAAAAGACCTCTTGCTGAAGATACTCTTCAACAATAGATAGAGATTCTTCTAAGACAAAAGCTCGAAAGTACAATTTTAGCTATTTCCACTTTTAATTATCAGCAATTCGATTATATGCCAAAGTAATCATCAGCGGCACTCTATATAATATAATATGAAATGAAATTTACTTGAGGTGCCGAGTAGTGTTGAGGTTGTGGCAATGGAGCCGGTTGTGGTGCAATATATTGCTATTGAACGAAGAAAAGAAAATTAGAAATTAGAAATAAAAGAGAGAAATGTTCTTCTTACAGCTGGCGGTGCTGGTGGTGCTGGTTGAGGATAGTTGTATCCGCCGCCTCCCAAATGTGACACGTCAGCGCTGGCAACAGCAACGAAGGCCAAAATTGTGAAGAATTTCTAAGAAAAAGAAAACACAAATTATAAATTGAATCTCAATATTCCACACATCCACTAAATATTCACAAAATATTTTAATTGTTCCGAAATCTATTGTCTATCACATTGAATTTGTTGTTTATTGAAAGTTTTTGTACAACAAATTTAACTCATGTGCTAACAATTTGGACATTTGATCCGAAAATAAATGTCTCTCACCATTTTGCAAATTTTTTTTTTGTAATTTTTCCCAACTACTTCACTTGAGCTGATGATGTGTTCGAATGATTTTACCAGCCGCTCACACCATCTTTTATACTAAAAATCGAATGCGCCAAATCATTAATGTAAAGCAAGTCCACCCATCATTGTAAACAATCCATTCACCGCACATTATCTATGTCACTCCAAATACGGTGATGATGGTTGAGAGAGATAACCGATGAAGATATGATAGGCAAAAAAAAAGCAAATAGCGCAAATTATGCGCATTTTCATGGGTTTCAAGAGATTTCGTTATCATTGTCACTTGACTTTGACTTTTTGACATTACATATTCCGAATGTATCTCTTTATTTGTATAATCACTAATGATTACGTATATATCTTTATGGTAATTGGACTATTTTTTTTGTTCACATCACATTTATCTCAATGCAAATGATCGATTTCTCAAAATAAAATAGATAAAAAAATAAACTAAACATACTTAATGAAAGCGACACCTTGAACGGCTTAAATTTAATGAACTTCAAACAAAAATGGATCATTTAAAACCAAATCCGAATTAAAGTATTTTTACTAATTTGAATGTTTCATTGCTTCGCTTAATTTTTGTTCAATGCTGAATTTTTCTTAAAATTGAATGTGTGTTCTCATCTTGATATTGTTCAATAATCAGCATTAATTATGAACACCAACAAAACATTCGACCCACATAATACAATACGTCTTCAATTTAATATACTTTCGGATTTCGAATTTCGTTTTAGATATGTATCATAAATGTTGTAAAAAAATTCTCTCATTAAACAATTTTACTATCAAAAGCAATGAAAATGTTTTATGATTTTTTCCGAGTATCACTTACAGTCGGCTTTCAACGCGACTCGATTTAAGAAGCGCCATCTCTTTCACGCCAGGTTCT